CGGCCGTGAGGACGAGGACAGGCAGGAGGGGGAGAGGACCCCGGTGCAAGGACGGGGTTGGGACGGGCAGGGCAAGCCCATGGTACCCCCCCTTCCTTTTGTCTGCAGTCCCTTACCCAAAATCCCAAAGAGCCAAAGTCTCTGAGCGTGACAGAGACTAAAAACAGCCTCCATTTCTCTCTCACGTGCTGCTGTCCCCGTTTCACCTCCAACAACCTTGCACGTGTTTGTTTATTAAGCACTGGCCTGTGGCTGCCCTGCCCCGCTGTCCGTCCTCCCTGGTCTGTCCAAGCCAGCTGCGATCAGCCAGGCCAGCTCAGTGCCAGGGGAAAAATTACCTCCAAAAAAAAAAAGGATGTGGGGTTGCTGGATCACACGGGCTCCAGGAAGGACGCAGGGACAAACTGCTCCACCACGACAGTTGGTGTCCCTCTTGGGGGTCCGGGCTGCGGCGCTGGCTGCTCCCGGGAACTGCAGCTCGTGGGCTCCCCGAGTCTCTGCTTGTCGCAGTCCAGTGCCAGGAGCGGAGCAACTGTGCAATCTGCTTGTTGATTGGGATCACTCTGTCCCCCACGATCACCGTTGCGTAGACTGAGGGGCAGGATGGTGCAGATCCCGGTGCAGATAAATAGCAGGGCCTCCTGTGTGGGAGCCTGCTCAGCATCTGCTCTTCAGGCCCTAGCGAGGGGCTGGGCAAGCGCTGTGCAGCTGGAGCTGGAGCTGGCCTTTGCAGGACCTGGGCAATGGCTGGAGGCGTTTGAAGCTAGCTCTCAAATTGTGTACGAGAGGCTGTTCAAAAGCAGAGTGAACTAGCTGTGCCGGGCTTGGGGCCCCGGGGCTGTGGGCGCGGGGGTCTCCATGCAGGTGCCTGGCAGTGCCCGCCACGCATCCCCGGTGTGTTTGTGCTGCCAGCCCAGCACTGGAGAGTGCTTTCAAAGCAAGCGCAGGTCCAGAGGAGGTGGCCGGACTGATCCTGGAAGGAGCTTCCACCCTGGTGAGAGGGGTCACAGCTTGAGCTGTGACTTTCTGGCAGCAAAAGGGACCCGTGGTCACGTCCTGCTGGCCCTGTGCGTCCTGCAGGCCATAGCAGCGCTGTCAAAGAAGGACATAGCGTGGGAAATCATGTTTTAACAAGGACAGCGTTGTCTGTCCTACCCAGGGAGCAAGACTTCCTAGACGCTGCCCATTACAGCTCTCTCTGTCCAGCTGAGGATGGGGCCACGCCATCACCCAAACGTGAATCCCTTTGCCCAGCTGCTACTTGCTGCATCTCTGGGATAAACAACTTGTCGTGGTCACGCTCGAGGGGAAGCCCACGTTCGCGTGAGCGTAGGTCTGATGAGGCTGCTTTGCTTGCAGACAGGCCCTTGTGGCATGACCACCGGGCAGCGCCAGGGGCTCCGATGGGCAAGGGCCCAGCGCTCTCCATGGGTTGCGTGCTTTGTGCCCAGCACATCCCAAACTAATACAAAAGCTTCAAACACAACAGGGAGCACCTCTGGCTTGTAGGAGAGCCCCCCAGGACTCTGCACCATGACTGCAGGCTCCCAGCATGCATGGGAGGCACCTTCTGGCAGGCTTGGGCCCATAGGACAAAAGCTCCAGGAGAAGGGCAGTGCAAGGACTATGCTTAGCCCTGGCCTGCTGCTGTCCCCTAAACACTGCCTTTCACACCGTGTCCTTTTTCCTCCATACCCTGCCTCTGCCTTGCTTCTGTCCTAGTCCTGACCTGCTGACCTGGCCCTATGCTGCCGGGTGCACAGGCCACAGGCAAACTGCGGCAGCGTTTGAGCCAAGGACCTGTTCATCCAGGCACTGAGAACCAGCAGCAGTGCAGAAAACACCGGTGGTGGTGAGCCCTGGAAGCCGTGTGCGTTGTCTGCCCTCCTCCCAGCGAGAGGTGACACTCAGCCATCCTGTTGCTCTCTGACGGTCTGTTCTTCCTGAACGACCTTCCTGGAAAACAAGGTCCATGTGTGAGAGCCACAAGGCATTTCTCTGCTGGCTTTGCAAAGCTGCTGCGGGGCTGCAAGAGCCTGGAGGCGCCCGGCTGCCTGCTGCCTTCAGGAGGTCCTGGGCGCAGGAGGCAGCGGTGCTGGGCTGCTCCAGTGGAAGCAGATGCTGCAAACGCCCTTGCGAGGAGCTGCGAGGGCAGGAGGGTGTGAGCACTTTCCCACACCTTCCCGGTCCCCAGGGCTTTCCCAGCCCCAGGAGGCTTAGGAAGCATCAGCAGCTCATTTCAAATTTACAGCTGTGATGAATGTAACTCCACAAGAGTAGCTGGTCCTGAGGAGACCAGGCACAGTCCTGGGCAGGGCCAGACACGACACCGCAGCCTCGGAGAGCTGGAGCCTCCCTGCTGTGCAGGGGGAGCGCACGGCCCTTGGCCGAGGCCAGGGTGAGGCAGCTGGGGAGCGAGCCGCGGCCTTCCTGTGCAACGTGCTGTGGATGGTCCTGCTTGAGCAGGGGGGCTGGACTAGATGATCTCCAG